TCGGGTAAGCCAGGTCTAGAACAATACACCCAGGATTTAAACTTAGAATAACACAGCCTCATGCCGGATCCCTATTAGGTACGTTTGCTTGCATCACGTGCATTTGACTTAGGGGACTCAACACAGAGGTTGGGTCCGTCTAGGACAGGTGTACCCAAAAAATTAAAAGACCATCGTGATGCATTTTACGTGCTACTTGTGTTTTCATTTGCTTCGGCTTGTATGTTGACCGGCTTCTAGAATAGGGAAAGAAAATCAAGAAAAAACAAGAGTGAGGTAGGTATTTGAAACATTTCGAAACTCTGCGGAAATTTCGAAAAACAAAAGAGAGAAAATAAGCCAATACTTTCAAAAGTCATTGTTTCCCCTGTTCCGTCAAAACTGGCAGAACTACACGGGTCTGATTCTCACCAGATGTGAGATACGTAGGCAAACCTAATCGGTTCCGGCCCCCATTTTAAAAAAGAAAAAAAGAAAAAAAAATCCAAAAATATTTTCCTTCAATTCCTTCTTTAGGAGTCTTTTTTTAGAAAATCCCAAAAAAATATAAAAAAATAAAAAACATTTAAACCAAAAAAAAATATTTTATTTGTAGGAGTCTTTTATTAGAAAAATAAAACAAATGAAATCAAAATCTAAAAAAAAAATATTTTCTACATTTTGTTTAGAAAGTCTTTCTCCCAAAAATACAAAAAAAAAAAAAAATGAAAAGCCAAAAAATATTTTTCTTTCTTATATAGAAGTCCTTTCGGAAAAATTAGAAAAAAAAAACAAATCAAATTCCAAAAATATTTTCTTTCTGCAATTTATAAGTCTTTCTTTCGGAAATTAAAAAAAAAAATTAAAAAAAAAAATCAAAATCCAAAAGAGTTAGTTTATTTACTTTATTTTTAATCTTTCCGAACTACGCACGATCTGATTCATGTTCCCATATGATACGTAGGCAACCCACATCAGGTTCGATCGACCATAAAAAAAAATTATTAAAAAAATGATGTTGATAATAAGGACCGACTGAGTCCATTCTAACATGCCTTTTGTTTTGAATCATAGAAGAAAATTTGAGGTGGTCGGTTTGTGGTAAGCTATCAATATAAGATCCAAAGGAAAAATGTCATTGACAACTGACATTGAAGCTGTTACAAGTGGTAAAGAGACTCAGGGTCAGAGGGTTCAACAAGAGTCTACTGTGGTTGAGAAAAATAGAATACTGAAACAGCAAATGATTGAAATGTGTCAAGCATTGGCCAATGGTCAAAGACCACCCCTTTCTTATGATTTCTCAAAATTCACACCCATCTCGACTACTACCACTCCTATCTCATTGTCTGATCGATCCTATCCATTTGGGTTCAGTCTTTATCCCAACTGTACGACTACAGCTGGAACTTCTGTTGCGCGCTCCCAAAGTGTGCCATTGACAACCAATCAGACAATCACTGCTGTTATGCCCGTTTTCACTATCCCACAACCAACAGTGGTACAAAAGAAAAGTCATGAGTCACAATTTGCTACCCATCAAGAACAATACCATTCTCCTGAGTACCACTCGTATCTATTTGATCTTCCTTCAAAGGTTGAGAAGCCTACCCGAAACATGGCACAAGAAGAAATGACCCAAAGAGTGAAAAGCTTAGAACAAAAGTTGAAAAACATGCAAGGGTCGACGTGTCAGAAGAGTATTGCCTTCAAGGATCTATGTATATTCCCCGGTGTTCGTTTGCCACTTGGTTTCAAGACTCCCAAATTTAAAAAGTATGATGGACACGGAGACCCCATAGCCCACCTGAAAAGGTATTGTAATCAACTAAGAGGTATGGAGGGAAAAGAAGAACTAGCAATGGCTTATTTCGGGGAAAGCCTGACAGGGGTAGTCTCTGAATAGTTTATGGATCAAGAAACCTTTCACTGGCATGTCTGGGATGACATGGCCCAGGCCTTTGTCAAACAGTTCCAATACAACATCGATATCGCCCCAAACCGCAATTACCTTTCAAACCTGAAGAAGAAACTAACTGAAATTTTTAGGAAATATGCCATTAAATGGAGGGAGCAAGCGGCTAGAGTTAAGCCACCCATGGATGACCACGAGCTAATCACTGTCTTCCTTCAGGCTCAAGAGCCAGATTATTTTCAAAATATGATGTCTGCAGTGGGCAAATCCTTCTCGGAAGCAATCAAAATTGGGGAAATGGTTGAGAATGGCCTTAAGACAGGCAAAATTATAAGTCAAGCAGTTCTCAAAGCTGCAACTCAGGCTGTAAAGATTGAATCTGATAATTTTAGTGACACGAATGAGAAGGATGAAGAAACCATGATGACAATAAGGTCGAGAAGCAGTCCTAGGAGAACATCTCGAAGGTATGAGCAGCCTCATCAAGTTTTCGATGATTCCCCTGAGCACTACTATCCACCTCAGAACCCACAATACTCTATTGCTCCATTTTAGTATGTTGTCCAGCCACCAAGACACCCCAGAAGGCAAGCACCAGCACCGTAAAATCTCCACCAGCCTCCATAAAATTTTTAAGTGTCCTATAACCCACAATCAAGCCAGGGGTATAGAGGGGAACAAAGGTTGAAAGATAATTTTACACCAATAGGAGAGTGCTATGCAAGTGTGTTGGAGAAATTAAAGCATTATGACATGATTGCACCTATTCTTCCAAATCATGTGGACCCACGTGCAAGAAGCTTTGACCATGCTAAAAGGTGTGAATACCATTCCAATGCCTAGGGACACAATGTTGAAAGTTGTCGGGATTTGAAAAGAGAAATAGAAAGGATAATCCAGGAAAAACTGATTGTGATCCAAGATAATGACACCCAGAATATCACACAGAATCCTTTACATGCACATGATGATGCACACTTTGTAGGGATGATGTGTGGTGACATGGAGTATGAGAATCCTCTTGGGAACTTGCCGACTGAAATTGGAGAAGGCCATGGTGATTCTGATGAGCAAATTTGTAGCTAAATGTCAAGCTTAGCAATTGAAAAGTCATTCCCTCCTTACTAGGAAGGAATCTTGGTAGCTTGTTTTGATATTTTTTCTATTATCTGGGTTATTCCTGGGTGTAATCCAGATTTTATTTGTTTTATTGAGTCAAACCCTTCTATCCCTCTATTTTATTTGTGTGAGTCTTGTATGTCTGTTTTGTTGCTATTTTCATTAGCCGGGTTATTTTAGGGTTGTAACTCGAATTTTAGGTTATTTGTCTTGTTGTTTACTCAATGAAATACAGTTTGTCCTTTTGTATCATTCCATGCTTTGTTCTTTTTCTGCTAGTTTTAGTGATATGACATGCATGCGGAATTTTTGGCCAGATCTTAGAAGTGACTTAAACTTGAATTGGATAAATAAGAAAAAGGAACTTTTAAGGATGAATAAAGAGTTGAAACACTTTGGAATTAAGCTCGAATAAAATTATCCGTGGAGGTTAATGATCTTTACCTTCAAATCATTGTGAAGGTCGGGTTTGAGGAAGAATCAATTGAAGTTTATTGGAAAGTTTGACATTAATGGGTGAAAAGTGTCTTCCGACCACGACACACCAAGAAGACAAACATGTTCATCAATGATGTGTCGCGAAAGGAAACCATGATTGGCGCTCTAGAGGCTAGGAGGCCCTTTTTCTGCTACGCAAACACTTTATACCCTTTGTTACCCCTTTTGAGCCTGTGTTATTTTCTTCGACCACCCTCTTTTGGAATCAAGTTTAGAGTTAAAAGTCTAAAAAAATAAAAAAAAAATGAAAAGAAAAGTTCATGTCCCAAGAGTACAAACTGGGGCGAATCTTAGAAAGTTCAAGTGAAAAAAAGAATAAGAAAAGAACAGTCAAAGTCCATGCCCTCAGAAAATAAAAACTGGGGCAACTTGTTTTGAAAAAAAAAAGAAAAAAAAAGAGAAGAACGAAGAAAAAAAAAAGAAAAAAAAGGAAAGACAAAGAAAAAGAAAGAAAGATGAAAAAAATAATATTAGGTCAGATGTTTGAACTACGTTAGACCCGATTCCTTTAAAAAAGGGATACGTAGGCAGCCTTACACGGTTCGGTCCAATCAAATAAGAATTCAAAACAAAAAAAAAATACAAAAATCCCCAGTATCAGAAACTGGGGCAAAAATTTTATTTCACTTTTGAAAGAGTCGATTCCAAGAGTTGTAAAGTGTACAACCCATCATATTGAGTCTACTNTCCTTGTCAAAACAAGCAAGAAAAGATTTCAAAATCTGCTACCAGCTTTTCAGTTGCACAAAGTAAATTTGGCCAGCACACTCAGTTGTTACAACCAACATGTCTTGAGGATTCGTGCAATACGAAGGTTTCCTCCAAAAGACTCTTGTCAGCCTATTTGGCTAAAGCAAGCAAAGATAACCTCAAGGTTAATCAGGGATTCCCTGTAGTACCGAACAAGGACTATGAAGTGGCACATTGTGCAAAAGACACTTACTATTTGTGATTTTCCCAGAGAGACAAAATTGCTCCAAAAGCAAAAGCCATTCAAGATATCTGAAAAGGTTATCCAAGAAAAAAAATCTCTTTTTTTGAGATAAGGCTGATTGAGCCACAAAACACAAATGGCATTGGGAGCGAAAAAATCAGGTTTGATACAGAAAGTAAAGGTCCCTTGTAAGGAACAACAGAGTCTCCCAGCAGTGCGGCCAATTACCAATGCAGTCAGTCTTCCAAAAGTGGATGATCACAAAGTCAAGCCACTCAAGACTCAAGGCCGCAAACCGACCACCACTTTTAAAACTTATAAAATTTTCTTTGTTTGAAACAGGAACAAAGCATTGCAAGGAATTTGGGTTTCCCAAAAAAAAAAAAAAAGGAAGAAGAAAGGAAAGAAAAAGAAAAAAAAGAAGAGAAGAGCCGACAAAAGGGAGGTTTCTCAAATCTTTGCCTTTATTTGTCTTGCTAGTGTGCATAAAATATTGCCATTGCTCTTCACATTTTTCCTCCTAGAATCGAAATCTTAGTCTGATGAATCTTTCTCCTAAGATAAGAAAACCTAGTCTGATGAATTTTCTCCTAGGATAAAAATATCTTAGTCTGATGAATCTTTCTCCTAAGATAACAAAAAAAGACCTAGTCTGATGAACTTTCTCCTAGGATCGAAGTCTTAGTCTGATGAATCATTCTCCTAAGATAGAAAACCTAGTCTGATGAATTTTCTCCTAGGATAAACGTCTTAGTCTGATGAATCTTTCTCCTAAGATAATAAAAAAGAGACCTAGTCTGATGAATTTTCTCCTAGGACCAAAATCTTAGTCTGATGAATCTTTCTCCTAAGAATGAAGACCTAGTCTAATGAACTTTCTCCTAGGATAGAAATCTTACTCTGATGAATCTTTCTCCTAAGATTGATGACCTAGTCTGATGAACTTTCTCCTAGGATAGAAATCTTAGTTTGATGAATCTTTCTCCTAAGATAACAAAAAAGGACCTAGTCTGATGAACTTTCTCCTAGGATCAAAATCTTAGTCTGATGAGTCTTTCTCCTAAGATAGTAAACCTAGTCTGATGAATTTTCTCCTAGGATAAACGTCTTAGTCTGATGAATCATTCTCCTAAGATAGAAAACCTAGTCTGATGAATTTTCTCCTAGGATAAACGTCTTAGTCTGATGAATCTTTCTCCTAAGATAGAAAACCTAGTCTGATGAACTTTCTCCTAGGATAAAAATCTTAGTCTGATGAATCTTTCTCCTAAGATACAAAAATAAAAAGACCTAGTCTGATGAATTTTCTACTAGGATAATAAGTTTAAAAAAAAAGGGAAGTCTGGAAAAAAAAACAAAGGTCAATTTTTAGTTTTCTTAAGTTATCAATATTTAGTTTTCTTGAAATCAGGGGTCCCGCCTGGAGAATAGGGTCAGTTTTTAGTTTAGTCAAGCTTAGTTTATAGTTTTCTGCAAGCTCAATCTCAAATTTAGGAGATGCACTTCCTAGTTTGGGTTTTTCAGATTTTTATTTCTTTAGGAGACACATCCTAGTCGAGTCTTTAATTTTACTCTTATCATTGCATCCTTCATCAATAGCATAGGTAATTTATAGTTCTGCTAATAACTCACAAATCTTCCTAGTGTAAACTGGGGCAGAAAAANAAAAAAAAATTCTTTTGTTGTTTCCATTTTGTTGTAGTTGCAGGCGCCCACCTGGAGAACGAGGGAATTAATTTCAAGTTTTAAAGTCATCAGGCACCCACCTGGAGAATGAGGGAATTTGTTTTAATTTTTAAGTCATTATCAGGCGCCCACCTGGAGAACGAGAAAATTTATTTCAAGTTTTAAGTTAGCATCAGGCGCCCACCTGGAGAACGAGGGAATTCATTTCAAGTTTTAAGTTAGCAACAGGCGCCCACCTGGAAAACGAGGGAATTCATTTCAAGTTTTAAGTCAACATCAGGCGCCCACCTGGAGAATGAGGAAATTTATTTCTGTTTAAGTCATCACAGGCGCCCACCTGGAGAATGAAGGAATTTGTTTCAAGTTTTTAAGTCAGCAGACGCCCACCTGGAGAATGAGGGAATTTATTTCGAGTTTTAAGTCATCAGGTGCCCACTTGGAGAACGAGGGAAGTCATTTAAGAATTCAATTCAAGTTAGAAGTAGCAGAAGCTCGCCTCAAGAATGCGAGCTGACAGTCCGAGATGACCAAAGGAAGAAGTCTCAATCCAGAATAAAAGAAAAAAGAAAAAAAAAAAGAGAAGTGAATCCAAAATGTATAAGCCGATGAAAGACATGAACTGCTCAAGACATGGCTGAATACACGAGCACTGCATGTCCGGTCTTGATCCGAAGAAGCTGTAGAAGAATGAATCGGCACCTGCAGTTAGCAAGCAGCAAGGTTCAAATCAAAAGTCTGCATGAAGAACCATTCAAGCCTCAAGATCAAGCTTCAGAAGACTTATAGATAAGAATCTTGTAACTCATAGCTGACAAGCTTAGTTAGTCTTTTTTTTATTTTTTGATTTTGATGTAATAACAGGACCGCGGACCGGAACCTCGACGGAATGATAGCTAACTCGACTCTCTCATCCTCTCCACACACTTCATCACTTTATTCACCTCTTGAACTACACGCGACCTGATTCCCGTATAACCCGGGATATGTAGGCTGTCCAAAACAAGGACTCGGTTGCACCTTTTCGTTTTATTTTCTTCCTCTTTTGAATAACGTTATGGTCAAAAATTAGTCACACGGCTCACTTTGTCTTTGCCTGAAAACTCTTTATGTTTCCAAGCAAAGAGGGGCAGCTGTGAGCACCTAATTTTTGACTATATTTGAGTTTTTAACTCACTTTTTAGTATTTAAATAGTTTTAAGTTTAATCGTAATATTGTAGTTTTATTTCACCTTTTTATAGGTTTATTTTAGATAAATTAAAAATCAACAAAAAAAAAATTCACATTGATAGAGTATACAATTTTATTCTAATTGGCAAAAGAAAAGAAAACACACAAAAATTTGTTTTCCTCTTATTTTTAGTATGTTAGTAATTTTGGAATTTCTTTTTAATAGTTCCTTGACTGGAAGTAGCTAGTTAATATTTAATTTTGCTATTTCAATTTAGTAGGAATAATATTTTAAAAGTTTTTTTTTTGTTATCCTTTACAAGAAAATCAAAAAAAGAAAGAATAAAGAACCAATCAAATTGTGCCAACTCTTTTGTTCTTGTTGAGATTTTGTCTTTTAGTCAAGATTCCTCCCTATCCCAAAATAACTAATTCATAAGGCATATTCTCTCCCCTCACGTGATTGTTCTGGAGTAATCACCTGCACCTTATTTTGGATCTTTTATTCACACACTTTTCATGATCTGAATTTCTTTCTCTCCAAGACTTTGCCCACACACATTATATATATAGACCTAAAGCTAACCATAGGGAAAAGAAAAAGGAAAAAAAACGGGGGAGGCAGAAACCAAAAGAAAGGGAACGAAAGAAGTCTGGGAGAGGATCAAATAGAAAAATGGAGGGGACGTGAGAAAATCGACAGCGGCGCAGCAGAAGCAAGCTTTCCATCCCCTTCTCTGATTTTGCAACTAAATTCATATCCAAACCACAACCTTTCATCCTCGCCAATCATTAACCACGTTTTTCCCCTCTCAATCCAATTTCTCCATGAGGCTCTAGTTAAATAAGAAATAAGTCATCTCTCTTTTCTTTTCCATACGAAACATAGGTTCTATTTATGTGGTCTGATTTTCGAAGGATTGCGAGCTTCGAGGTCGCCGATCGAGGTCTCCGGTCGCAGGTTCATCTGCTCGTTTAAGGATTTGTTCGGTATTTTTTTCATTAATACAGTCTTTCAAAGAGTGTGCAACAGTAAAGGTGCACTTTTCAAACCTTCATCTTATTTCATCTCATTATTCTGGTTTGGTGAAGGATTTTGATTGATTTTGGTATTCTGTTATGTTGGTTTGTTTGCATTTGCTGTCTTAGTTTCATTATTTGGTTAAATGTCTTAATTCGTGTCAGTGAATAGGATGAATTGATATTTCAATGCAACTTTGACTTATATCACTGAAAGCTTCGTGACTTATCCGGTAAATAAAATGGCGAAGGAAACGACTTGAGTTGAAATTGATTTAGGCATTTGGTGCGCCGCAGGGATATAGTATGCTATTGTTTTTAGTTTAGCCTTCATGTCTAGTTGGTACTTAAGTCACTATTATCTTGAACTTGCTTGATTAATTTTTTTATTGTTTAACTTGAGCTACTGTGTTGGTTAATTAGGGAAAGAATTTGGGTTTAAGTTGGTTTTAAATATAAATGGTTTGTTGTGGCAATCTTGCCTGAAATTATAAGCACACAGTGAGTTAGGCTCAGGTTGATAAAATAGAAAAGGGATTTGGTCGAGGAAGTTTATTTGAAGTTAGAAAAGAAATTGGGTTTGAGAACATTTCCTATTATTTTACTTATATTTTTTTTTTTGTCTAATTGTGTCGTTAGAATGTATGTTTAATTTAAAATTACACTTTTCCAACAATGTCATATCCATAATTCATGACCTCATAATAATCTCAAGCTTAGGTAATTAAACAACTTATCAACCATACAATAATCTCAAGCTTAGGTAATTAAACAACTTATAAACCATCGCTAGTTGCTTTAGGCGCGATTAATAATAAATCATCGTGATTATGGGTACGGTTCCCGTGGCATGGTCACGATACGTAAATTCCAATTCGGGTGTGCGTTTCATGTGACCCGACCATAACTTCAAATAATAATAAAAACAAACATGTTGTAAACCGCGGGTGCATTTCATGTGACGCGATTCGCAATGTGTTAAAAAACAACGAGTGTGCGACATCGCAACTTGTTCAAACAGATTCCATAAATAATTAAAAGCGATTTAAAAGGTTAAAAATGCACAATAGGTTTTAAACATGTAATAAATCAGATAATTCGGCCAATTATTAATAGTTGAACGACCGTGCTAAAACCACAAAACTCGGGAGTGCCTCACACCTTCTCCCGGGTTAACAAAATTCCTTACCCGGTCTTCTGTGTTCGCGGACCATAAATCGAGTCAAATTTCCTCGATTTGGAATTTAAAATAAATCGGTGACTTGGGACACCATAAATTATTCCAAGTGGCGACTTTGATAAATAAATAATCCCATTTCGATTAATGTCACTTTAATTGGAAAAACTCCCCTATCCTTTCAGGAAAAAGGAGGTGTGACAGCTGGTCGTGCTTGATTGCCCGATAATGTTCTCCGAAGTCTTTTACGATTTGGATCAATGTCGAATTATGACCCCGATATTCTCGAAAACAGACAACGTGCCTCCGAATTCTGACCCGATGAAACCTTTGCTTCGATTCCGATCTTTCGCAATCATATCTCGAGCTCATTTTACCCTATTAGAGTCTGGAGTATATCATGAGATCGATTTTACCCGTATAATATTTTTAGATATGACATTTTTTTTTTCCAACATGACATGTTGTTTCTTACGCGGTGAAATTACGGACACAAGCTAAGGTTGGCAGTTGGCACTCTGCAGAGGATTTAGATTTCTGAGCTCCGAGATTTACTACCTTTCTTGCCTGTGCTACACTTGTTCTTTTCTTCTCTTGAATTTTCCTCTCTTATCTTATTTAATTAAAGAGTTTCCTTTTTGTTCGGTCATTAATGAGTTCGTTGGAGCAAGAAATTCTAATAAGACGATCAACATAAAATTTATATATACCATCCTTGAGATTTGAACCCCTCTCTCTCTATATATATCTTATATTAAATGGATTCGATATTTTAATATAATATATATAAAAGAATTTGTATTTACGCAATTGAATTTTATTGGGTGTGCGAATAAAATTCTAGTTGAAAAAATTAAAAGTCACTATATAAGGTGTAGACATCTCTTAATGATGTGATATTTTATGGAAAAAATCGTGCAGACTTGACTCAAATCTAATAATATTATATTATATTAAGAATAACTTTGGACTAATTGAACCTTAGAACTGATATTACAATTCAAATTCGACACGAGAGAAATATGGTGATGGTTGAGTGATGGTGCCGGACTCGATTTGCACAAATTCTATAGTGCAAATAACACCCTCGATAGGTGCAAGAAAATATTCAAGTTTAGATAACTTAACAAGAGAGGAAAAGAAATAAATCAAGATTTATCTTCTCTTGCATGTCGACAAAACACGACGTTTGAAGTTTGCACCAATTCAGCAAATATCCCAATTGCGTGACAAAAAATGATAGTCCAGTTGCTTCTTGTCATTATTTTTCAGGGTTTTTTTTGTCCTTTTTCAGGTAATTGAACCTTATATATTACGGCATGAATATACCAACATCAAATCCATATGAAACAAACTCGTTAATTCTCAGAGAAATAAAATGAAAAGTTCAAACAACAAAAACAATGAGCAAGAATGCTTGCACGAATCTTGGATGAATCTTCAACGTGAAGAACTAAGGGAACTTGAACAAGCTGCAGCAAACGGCCCAAAAGATGAACAGAAACAAACTCAACTCATTGAAAAATTATAAACCATTTCCAAGACTACTGTAACAACCGTAGTCGCTTAGCCAAAAAGGATGTGTCACCATTCTTTGCACCCACCTCGTGCACCCCATTGGTAAAGCTTGTACACCGGGGGATTGATAGAGCTTGTACGCCGGGCCAACAAAGCCTCATTTTCGAGCATCGACGAGGAGTGAGATCGAGGCTGGCAGGGTCGTTTTGTTCGGGTGAGGACCTCGGATTTGATCCCGGCCGAATTCAGACCATTCCCCGAGAAGTTGAATGCATCACATAAGTAAAACTTTCCCTCGAATGTTGATTTCGTGTTCATCTCTTTTTCTCATTAGTATTCGTGGTGGTGCAGCTGTCGCTTGAGTTCCAAATGTTGTCTCTCGACTCAAGGAGTGGGTCGAAGGCATTGTCTCACAAATGCCCTACTCCGAGCGCTTGTGGCGCAAACTCTGAAGGGCCGTTGGGAGGCCCGTTCCCATGGTATGATTCCTTTCTCGAGTAGGGGCTGTTAGGCTTCTTCTCTTAGTATTACGTTCTTATTATTTTTTCTTTACTTCTCTTTTGCAGGTTTGCCTAAGAACGTCGAGCTTAGGCCCCCGGTTGGGGACGAGGACTTACCTGCCGATTCTTCTGCTTCGGAACTGCCCGGAGCCACAACAGTGGAGAATAAAAGAAAAAAGGCCCCGAGTTCCCCGAGCTCGGAGAAAAAGAAAACGAGAAGGAGACTAGTTCGTAAGCCAAAAGAAACCTCCAGCTCCCGAGTGCTTGACTTGAAATCACTCCTCCGACTCAAACACGAGCCCGATGAGGATGAAATCTTTGTGGCCCACGAGTCGTCTGTCCCCGAGGAATGGGTGGCAGCCGAGGGGGAAACGATGGAAGCTAATCTCCCTCAGGTTCGCGAGGCTGATGCCAGAGTGAAAGCCGAGAATTCTCGAGACGCCGGCTCTGCCTCGACCGACGTTATAGATATTTCGGGATCGCCTTCGTTCACAAAATCAATGTTCGATGAAGCCCGAACGATGAAGGAGCGATCCCACGAGGGGGTCCATGGAGCGGGCGATCCCCTCCAAGGTTTTTTTGACGCTGTAGACTCATCGACCCTAGAGGATTTTACCTGATTGGGTGACTTAGAGGTGCCAAAAAAAAGTTCACCCTCGGAGGTCGGCGGGTCTAGCTTGAGTTCGAGATTGATCAATCGGTTACCCGCTCCGAGCACGATTTTTGGTCGGAAGCGATATGTCGTTATCACCGTTCCGGAGGATACCCAGATTATTTTCTCCCACCGTAGGGATAGTTAGTTACCTCCGGTGCATGTTAACCGAAGAAGACCAGGCAAAAATGAACAAGGTAGATGCGTCATGCCTGTTTAACGAAGCACACAGGCGCTGAACCGAGTAAAGTGTTACCAAACTTTTTATTTTTCAACTTTAGTTCTTGATAACTCTAATATCTCTTCTCATTTTTGCAGGCCTCGGTGCTACACCATGAAACCTTCCTCCGGTATCGGGATGAGCTGAGCCAACTCGAGGCCAAAGTCAAAGAGCTTGCTGAGAAGAGAGATATGTATAAGCTTCTCAGTGAGCAACGTGAATGAGAAGTCAAGAGCCTTCAAGCCGAGTTGGATGTGGCTCAGAAAGAACACTCCGACCTGGTGGAACAGGTAAAAATCTTTGAAGTTAGTGATGATGAGCTAGGCACAACGTCTAATGGTCAGAATTCGCAGGTCCGGTAGAAGATTGATCGGGTCGACCAGCTTCGCGCTGAGATGGACGAAGTCAAGGCTATGGCCGAAGAGTAGAATGGCAAGATGGACCGATTGGCTTCATAAAAGGAGACTGCCCGGGAACAGGTGGCCTCGGCGGAGGCCCAACTTCAATTGACGAAGGAGAAAGCTGAAACCCAATCCCAAAAAATCGAAGGCCTCCAGTCTCAGCTGGGCTCGGTCGTTGCCTCACGGGATACCCTTTCCAAGGAGTTTGAAGCAGCCAAGTCAACGGCAGAATTAACCAGGGTCGATGCTGAAGAGATGGTGGCCCAGTACAAAGCTGATGTTGCACCCGAGGGCCATCATCAAATATGTGAGGTGGTAGTTCAGTAGGGAGGCTCTCGAGAAAGTTCATGCCCGGGATTTCGATTTATCGGTCGAAATTGAAAATGTTAAGAGGCTCGAGCCCGAGGCCAAGAAGTTGGCATACCCTGAGGAAGAGGAAGATTCCGAGTATTCGGGTGGATCCGAGGACGGGGAAGACCCCGATGGTTCCGGTGATGAGGCGGGCTCCGGCGAAGATCGGGCTTCTTAGGTGCCTTGCAGAATTTTCTTCGCTTTTGTACTTTTGTATTTTGTTGAGGCCGTTTGGCCTTTTTAAAAATTTATGTATATATTCAAGGCTTTTTCCTTTCGACAAATTACAAGCTTGTTTCTTTTCGCTTTTTTCGTTACGATCACAAAGATTTTGAATGCCTTAGCACGTAATAATTAGGTCTTGTTCGGAGGTTCGAACAATGCTCATTCTTGATATTATTTTGCTTAAGACTCGTGGGGGCTTGGTATGACCGGAAGCTTTCCTCGAAGTGTTTACTTAGAATTTTTTAGATTATAATTTTGCCGAGGGTAGCCTTTGAACCGGTTTAGAAATTTTGAAGGCCTTATGTTTTGGTTACGAATCTTGGACGTCTCCAAGCCGTTCTAGGATGACCGTAGCCTTTTAAGTTCGGGTGTTGCCCAATGGGCTTATTACCCCGGGATAATAGTCCCCGAATGGGGATGGTTGCAGTCTTTGAAGTTCGGTCACTGCCTAATATATTTTGTGTCCCCGAGCTTCGTAGCCCGAGCCGTTCGGGCTTGCCCATGACGGAAGTCCCCGAGCGGGGGTGATCTCTTAGATTCAGACAGAGGTGGCCCTTGGGCCCGATATTCTTAAGGAACAAAATATAGTAATTTTTAAGACACAAAGTATGTATCTGATAGGTAGAAACCTTCTTTTATTTCTGTGCAACATACAAGATTGCAAATGTATACATGCTTCATGTTATGGCTTAAGTGGTCTATGTGGGCACGGTTTATTTGACCGTTTGTCTCTTACAACAAATCCTATCTACCAAGTCGAGACTTGTTTGAGCATGGAGTTTCCGTCCTTGCTAAAATCGTTACCCGAGGGTGATGGTGTAACGACCCGGCCGGTTGTTTTGAGTATTATAGCCCCGTTCCCCTATCTACTGCTCCGTTTGTGCTTTATAGCTATTGTATGACTTATCGAGTTAGTTAGTTCGGGTCCGGAAAGAATTTAGAGTGAAATGAGACACTTAGTCTCTTAAATAGAAAGCTTAAGTTGTAAAAATCTACCGGATGTTGATCTATGTGTAAACGACCTCGAATTCGAATTCTAATGATTCCAGTAGCTCTGTATGGTGATTTTGGAGTTGGGAGCGTGTCCGAAAAATTATTTGGAGATCCGTAGTGGAATTAGGCCAGAAATGTCGAAAGTTGAATTTTTGGGAAGTTTGACCGGGGGGTTGAATTTTTGATATCGAGGTCGGAATCCGATTATGAAAATTGAAATAGGTCCGTTATGTCATTTATAACTTATGTGAAAAATTTGAGGTCAATCGGACTTGATTCGATAGGTTTCGGCATCAAAAGTAGAAGTTGANTAAATAGGTCCGTTATGTTATTTATGACTTGTGTGCAAAATTTGAAGTCAATCGAACTTGATTTAATAGGTTTCGGCATCGAATGTAGAAGTTAGAATTTTTAAGTTTCATTAAATTTGAATTGGAGTATGATTCGTGGTTTTAGCATTGTTTGATGTGATTTGAGGCTTTGACTAAATTCGTATGATGTTTTAGGACTTGTTGGTATATTTGGTTGAGGTCCCGAGGTGCTCGGGTGAGTTTCGAGGTGGTTTCGGACCATTTCTAGGCCATTTTTAATTGTTGGTTTTTGTCTACAGGGGTGTGCATCGCGATCGCGAATATTTGGTAGCATTCGCAAAGAGCAAACAACAGTTTGGGGCCTTGTGAATCGCGATCGCGGAAGCCCTTTCGCGATCGCGTAGAACAAAATCTCTACTGCATTGACCCGACTTTAGAAGCTTATATCTCGCAATCTATAAGGAATTTGGAGATGATCCAAAAATAAAAGTTGTATCCCTTGATGTCTAGTTTTCGGAAAGTCAAACCATTTGTCATTTGAAGTTTTGTACAAAACGTTATGACTATTATAATAGAGGCTGTCTGGGAGAGTTGGGGAGTTTGTTCTTCGCAATCGCGATTGGTTTTTCGCGATCGCACAGGGAAAATTTTGGGCTGGAAATTATTGTGCTTCGCGATCGCGAAGTATTTTTCACGACCGCGAAGAGTAAATAACTGGACAGAGAGGTTAAGTTCTGAAAATGGGACTTCCATTTTTACCGATTTGGAGCTCGAGAAGAGGCGAGTTTTGGGAGATTTTCAATAAAAACAACGGGGTAAGTGTTCTTAACTCAATATTGGTTAAATTACCCGAACTAACGGTTGTTTTTAACATTTAATTAGTTAATTAAGTTGAAAAATTGTGAAAACCCTCTTGGTTAAATTTGAAGATTTGAGGGTCGAGTTGATGTCGGATTTGAGTAAAATTTATATGGTTGGACTCGTGGTTGAAAGGACGTTCATATTTTGTAACTTTTGTCGGGTTCCGAGACGTGGATCCCACAGGCAATTTTTGGAGTGTAATTTCAGATTTTGTGAAAAATATTAGTATTTTGATATGGAATTAATTCCTATAATTTTGTGGACTAAATCAAATTTATTGTGACTAGATTCGAGCTATTTAGAAGTTGATATGCGCAGAAAGGAATTTTTGGAGCATTGTTTAGCTTGCTCGACATTGGATTCGTCTTGTTCGAGGTAAGTAACTCTTCTAATCTTAGAGCTGAGGGTATGAACCCCGATTATACGTGGTATGTGTTTGATGTTGAGGTGACGCACATGCTAGGTGACGGGCGTGTGAGCGTGCACCGTTTGAACTGTGATCCTGTTATTCCTGTGGTACTGTGTAGTTACCTGAACTTATCTATAATCATGAAATCTCTACGTACTAGAGTTATCGAGTTGTGACTCGTGTCAGAAATAATGCTTAGGCAAATGTTGGTATTATTCGGACCCACAGAGGTCATTTCTAGTGTCGATTTATTTGTTTAAATTGTAAATTCATACTCAGTCATGTTCATTCATTTCATATCATCTCCCAGTCTCTGCTGCACATCATATCATCATTTTGGGCTAGTTTCATGACATTGTGATACCGAGAGACTGGAGAGATTGATGACTGAGTGAGGCCGAGGGTCTGATTGTGAGGATAATTATGGGATCGAGCTGCACACCGCAACAACCCATATTGGCTTTATATACTTTATTATTATGGGATCGGGTTGCCCGCCGCAGCAGGCCAGATTGGCTTATTATAGCACGTGAGTTGTCCGTGCAGATACAAATATTAATACTATAGCATGTGAGTTATCCGTGCAACACGTGAGTTGTCTGTGCAGATTATAGCGCTTGGGCTGAAGGAGCCCCTCCGGAGTCTGTACATACCCCCAGTGAGCGCAGGTACCTACTGAGTGCGAGTGCCGAGTGCTGAGCGATTGGGAGGACTGAGTGACTGTAAGGAATTAGTGACTGTGAGGACTGAGTGACTGGGAGTAGGGGTGTTCATAAAAAATCGAAAAACCGAACCAAACCGAAAACCAAACCAAACCGACTAAAAAACCGATACTTTTTAGGTTTGTTTTGGTTTTGGTTTTAAATTTTAAAAACCGATCAAATTTGGTTTGGTTTTGGTTTTAATAGATCAATTTTTAATTGAGTACTTAAATTATTCATCACTATTTGAGTCAATTATCATCAATATATCTCGATAAATGATAGATTTCTCAAAGAGCAATTAGTTTGATAGTGTTACGTTGAAAATGTAGTCGCCGGAATATGCGTTTTGTAGTGTATGTCTCATATTTAAGAAAAAACCGATAAATAACCGAAAAAACCGAAAAACCTACAAAAACCGAATCGATAAAAAATCGACTTAATTAGTTTGGTTTGGTTCCAATATTTGAAAAATCGACTTACTTGGTTTGGTTTCTTTTTAGGCAAAAACCGACCCAAACTGAACCATGAACACCCCTAACTGGGAGGACTGGGTAATTGGGAGGATTGAGTGAAATGATACTCTGAGAATATGCATATGATTTTATCACTGAGTTGCATCGCATTGACATGCACATTTGACATACATGCATAGATATGCATTTTTCTCATGTTGTATGGTATCACGTCATTCATGACTTCTCACACATATTGGCATATGGGCATAGTGATGCATTTTCCAGTGGTTATCTGGAAAGAAAATAAAACATCTTATCATTGTTGAAAGGAATTTTGGAATTTCTTTTTTACTGTTTTCAAATTTACTTATATTTTTGGTAAATGATTTGGATTTTCACTGATACACTGGAAAGGCAGAATTACTTTTAGAAATCATGATGTAGCTGAGCATTTATTCTTTGAGTTACTTCTTGTATTACTTGCTTTATGTTGTTATGAACTGTTGTTGGTTATTGGAGCTGGACCCTGACCTTGGTACAAGCTCATCACTACTTTCAACCTAAGGTTAGGTTTGTTACTTATTGAGTACATGGGCTCGGTTGTACTCATACTACACTTCTGCACCTTGCGTGCAGATGTTAGCTGCTGATGTTGTTGTGTTCGTTGGGAGGTGGATCTGAAGGTGTACATGCATTCCGGTTGTAGTTGCCTCTTGTTCATGGTAGCTTTAGATTTATAAAACTCTGTTTATATACTTTTCAAACAGATGATGTATTTATTTCATACCAGCTTTGTAAACTCTATTCTTAGAAGCTCATGATTTGTACTACCAGTTCTTGGGGAAATGTATTGGTTTCGTATGTTTTCTTTTAATTAATTGCCTTATTAAATTCATTGGAATTAGATAGTTGATAATTGGCTTACCTAGCGGGTTGGGTTGGGTGCCATCACGACTAGTCAGATTTTGGGTCGTGACAGATGGCCCCCAGTATTCGAGGCCGATCTTAGAGAGGTATCAGATACTGTTGATGTGAACCTTGACTCCGGTTCATAGTCGGTATTTAGTTCTAAGTTAGTACGATCCATTGTTTCCTCATTAAAAACCTTGCCGGAAAACCATTTAGGACAAAACCCGTTCAAGGGAAAAAGAGTGCAACACGTGCTTTCAGGCCTAATAGTTGCATCATTCCTTGGTCGTTACCTGCAAGTGTTAGTCCAATCCGTAAAATATTTAAAGAAAAGTAATGAATGGAGTCGTACCTTAGCAGTAGTATCGTTTTAAGTGGGTTATGTTCCAGTTG